CTAAGCTCATTTGTGTTTATTTTTTGAATCAGACACTCCAGGCACCGTGGGTGGCATTGATGTACAGTACGATGGGGATGTCAATAAATCATTATTATTTGATGAAGCTAATAAGGAGAGCGAGGCCCCTCCAACAGGGAGGGCCTCTCCACAACCATTGTTTTCTGATATCCACAAGGAGAGTGAAGATGCTCCGCCAGGAGAATTACCTCCACCAGAGGCATCTGCTGTTGACAAGGCCCTTGAGGCAGAAATAAACGAGGGAGAGAAGGTGTCCCCGCCAGCGAAGGAGCTACTAACTTGTACAGGTTAGCTTGCTTTTGTACTATATGTTAGAGATTGGTTGTTATGTCTACGTATTGGTTGTTAAGCTTTTTATTGTTTATACTCTGAATATTATCAGAAACAGGCACTCAACGCGAGGGCACTGGAAGGGAAATAACGCCGGCGGTTGAAGTCCCTTCTGCAGGTGATGGGGAGACGCAAACTTGTATAGGTTAGCAACTTTTTCACCATGTGTTTAGGCATCAGTTGTTAGGTTTACTATGAAATTGTTAAGTTTAGATAGAAGGGGCTATGTTTTCTTAATATTTATACTTCGAATGGGTTGTTTGGAATCAGACACTCTGCGGGAGGACACTAGGATGGAAATAAAGCAATCAGAGAATGCCCCTCCACCAGCAGAAGAGACATCAACTGATGACGAAGATGCTCCTATTGTGTTTTCAAAGGTTTTGAATAAGAGAAAGAGGGGTGCAACGGGGGCACGCGGGAAGATGGCCGCTGCTGCACCCCCTAAACGGAAGAGATGCAAAAGATCGGTGAAGCCTTCCAAGTGGGTAGTCACCCCTTACACTGAAGGGAAGAAGAAGAAAGAAAAAGACAACATAGGGGACAAGGCTATAATAGAAGTGGGTGGGGAGGAGGAAGCGCAGGTGCAGGAAAACAATGCAGAGTTGGCTCCTGCTCGGCTACAAAGTGACCCCCACTCTATCTGGGAAAAACACATGAGTTCCCCTATGAGTTCAGAAGAAGAAATGTACAGAGATAAGCTGAACGAGGGGATTCCCTTTCCAGATGGCTTCATCATCAAGTTTTTGGGCGACAAGGACACATTTGTACATAACTATAAGGTGTCAGCAGACGTTGCCGCGCTACTGACGGAAGAGGAGCAAAAAGCTCTTAACCATTTTTGCATTTGTAGATGTAACAAGTAAGTATTTACCTCACATCTCAAGTATTTACGTTTGTTGTTTAGTTTGCGGGTTTGTTGTTATGGTTACGGGTTTTTTTGTTATGGTTATTGATTTGTTGTTTAGGTTAAGGGTTTTTTTGTTATAGTTATTGATTTGTTGTGCAGGTTATGTGGTAGTTGTTAAGGATACGTATTTGATGTTAAGGTTACGTGTTTGTTGTTATGGTTACGGGTTTTTTGTTATGGTTATTGATTTGTTGTTTAGGTTAAGGGTTTTTCGTTATAGTTTTTGATTTGTTCTTGCTGCTAATTGTTAGTTGCTAACTATTATTTTTGTTTTTTTCCCTGTTTGCAGTTTTATTAAAGTGTACGAGGGATCAGCAGGGTCTATTACCCGGCTTGAGATCCTCAATATATTACGCGGTGGGCGACTGGATGATTCAGTAAGATTTTCGATTGGTATTTATTCATTAGCATATTTAACAATACTATTATTAATTACTTGTTGCCAACTTATGATAGCTTGTTGATACGCTGCTTGATTTAGTTCGTGAAAATCAGAGAGCATCGTCCAGTATAAAATTCGGCGTAGTCCCTGTTTGGTTTAGTGTAAGTTTATGTCTGGCGTGGCGTACTCCTAACTATCAGCACATAATCTATGTTAAAAGGAACCTGATCGGGTTAATTCTTTATTGCAGCACCAGATACATGTGCTGAAACCAGATTACCAAGAGCTGCATGATATCTACATCAAACGCTTGGTCGATGAAGGGTGTACTAACCTCTTAGTTCCCATTGTCCAGGGCGATCATTGGCATCTTCTGGAGTTTGATGTCGAAAATGATATTGCCAGGCATTACGACTCCTTGAAGGAGAGATCTGGACATTGGGACCCTGTGCTCAATATCGTCAAAGCCTTCAACTACATTAAAGCTGGCTTCAATGAGAACCAATTGCGCAGCGTATTCGACCCAATCAAAGTTCCATGCGAGGAGCAAAAGGGATCGTAAGTTTGCCGGAACCCTTAACTCCAATTTTCGGACGAATTCGCTACTGCTCAAACTTCACCTACAGATCAAACTCGCCAGGCGAATCGAGTCGGGTTTCCAACACAAGTCCAACACTATACGGGGTTCGCCCGCAACATAAACTCGCCAGCCGTTGAATTCCGCTTCTAAGCGAAACTCGCCAGCAAATGAGTTCAGTCCTCTACTCGAATTCGCCAACAGTTGAGTTTAGCTTCCAAGCAAAACTCGCTGCGATCAAGTCTCGCCGACAAACAAACTCGTCAACCAATCGAGTTTCACCTCACCAGCAATTTGAATTCGTCAGGGGCCGAGTTTCACCATCTCGGTGAGCTCGACGTCGCCCTGGTTTCGCCGGTAGCGTAAACTCACCAGAGTAGAGTTTAACTTCGAAAGTGGGCTGGTCACCGCATGAAGGACTTCACCCGCGATACGAGATCACCTGCAATTACAGAGCAAAACATTGGAAAGCGACACATCCAAAGAGAATACACACAATGAGTGGGCACAAACCTCATTGATACTTTAAGACAGTACATTTGAACAAAGTTATGGTCTTTTTGCAATTGCGAAAGTCATAATGACATGTTAAAAAAAGCAAAACATACACCCAGTGTTTCAAGACAATACATTTGAACAAAGTTATGACTTTAAGAGTCATGGCATAGTTCCAAATGCAAAACAAGCAAGCAAAATGTCTTAATACAATCCTGAGGCAGAAGTCTCAGTTGAACACGCTGAAGGCGGAGATCTCCTCTTTGACCGCCTCAACCTGGCTCGCGTGGTCTTCCCGAGCCTTGTTTTTAGCGGCTTTCAGATGATAATACTGGCTGTCTTGGAAACATAATCTACTATGGAAGCATTTAATACAGCTAGAAACCCACATAACCAATCCATAAGCATGACAACCAGCACATAACCTTGACAGCCAGTCCATGATCTTTAATAACAAAACCATAACATCAACAATACGACGACCCCGTGATCTTCTTAATCCATAAGCCTAACAACAGAGAGCTAAGCATTACAACAAGGAGCTAATGTTAGCTACCATTCCATAAGTAGAGCACTAACCTTAACAATAGCTGTGGGTGAATGCATGTGGGTGAATGCATGTGGCTATTGAACAAGTTCATTAAAGGGAGCCACATGCATTCACCCACAGCTAATGGAACTAAGAGCAAACACATAAGGGGAAAACATCTTATGGAATGGTAGCTATTGTTAAGGTTATTGCTCTGTTGTCAAGCTTAGGGATTGGTTGTTAAAGTTAGCTCTCCGTTGTTAAACTTATGGAATAGTGGCTAAGGTTAGCGCCCTCTTGTGGAGAGGTCCCTTGCTGTTATTCAGCAGCGTGTGGTTGTCACGGTCACCGGCGTATATTCTCTGCTACTGCATTCAATGTTCCTCCTAGTTCCCAAGGAGGTGAGTTAATATAACCTGAACACCTACCTATCCCCACATTCCACGCGGCAACTTCACCATCCCTTCGCCTGTTCAGCTACAGGATAGCGCAGACATCCTTTCGACGCAATCTTTCCTCGATCTCCCCTACCATTTATTCTCTGTTGACCCTCTATAAAAAAAGCTACCCTCTCCCCAAAACCTTCAAGTTCTCCTTTCGCCATGAAAACCCGAAGATCAACGCTAGTCCTCACACCGATGAAGGTCATGGCGACGAGGTTTGCGCACAATGATGAAGATCTTGGGTATCCCTCACGCTGATGAAGACACCAACCCCTGGAACGGGTTTGATCTTAGTTCCATTAGCTGTGGGTGAATGCATGTGGCTCTTTTCAACGAGCTTGTACAATAAAAAGATAGTTAAGATTGATAGGTGCGTGGAATACCATCAATTCAGCTGCATCAATGTGTGAATCACCTAGGAAGGCATGCGAATGCTGGTGGATATAGTCCTCTGGCTTACGTTAACACTGTATAGCTATACAGTGTAAACGTAAGCCAGATGACTATCTACAACAGCATCGCATGCCTTCCTAGGTGATTCACACATTGATCCATCTGAATTGATCATATTCCACGCACCTATGAATCTTAACTATCTTTTTATTGTACAAGCTCATTGAAGGGAGCCAGTTATCTTCTGGAGTTTGATGTCGAAAATGATATTGCCAGGCATTACGACTCCTTGAAGGAGAGATCTGGACATTGGGACCCTGTGCTCAATATCGTCAAAGCCTTCAACTACATTAAAGCTGGCTTCAATGAGAACCAATTGCGCAGCGTATTCGACCCAATCAAAGTTCCATGCGAGGAGCAAAAGGGATCGTAAGTTTGCCGGAACCCTTGTTGGTATTCATTGTTGGAAACTGGTTGTTAAGGTTACGAATTTGTTGTTATGTTTTGATTGAAAGCAACAATGGTCTCAATGCTTCCTTGTTTTTGTGTGCAGGTATGACTGTGGGATCTATGTCTACCGGTTCGTACAAGCGATTACCGAAGGTAGAGATGTCCTGCACGTCACGCCCGAAGAGCATAACACATGGGTGGTTTGTGCGAAGCTAGCAGCGTACTTACTGATTGAAGGCAGGAAGAGGAAAAAAAAGGTGGGAAAACTTGACGATGATGACGTTGAGATGTAGATTTTTTGTAAATGATATATTACATTTCTTTGGTGTTACTAACAATATACATGTAAATATTAAAAGGTAAATATAAACAATATAAGGTTGATCTGTGAATGATATATTACAATTCTTTGTTGTTAATAGCAATGTACAAGTAACTATTATAAGGTTGATATGTCAACATTAAAGTGATAAACTTGACAACCAAGTTTATCACCTTAACAACCAAGCTATGACCTTCTCACTTGTAGTGATATACAGGACAACAAATCCATATACATGACAATAAAACGCTAAACTATATAGGCTCGTTACAGCTTGCACGATTGTGACCCTCCATGTTGCATCGAGAGCACTTAACCGGTCGGGTGTTCAGCGACCTGTTGTTTATTCGTCTAGTGCATGGTCTGCCACGTCTTTTTTTGGTGAGAGGAGGCTTCAACACTCGCTCTTCTGGCGGTACAAAGCGCTTCTCGTAATCTGGGATGGGATAGATGATCGGTGCATAGCTTGCTCTGAACGCAACAACAGTCATGTACCAATCGCAATATTGATAAATTTCTCGTCCCATCCATGTAATTGCAGCGCACGCATGTTTGCAGGGAATGCGGGTGATGTCCCAGGACCTGCAAGAACAAGTCCGATTCTTCAAATCTACGCGGCAAGTTTTATTGGACTCGACCTCCACAATATCTTCCGTCGAATGTTTAATCGCCAAGCAGCTACCATGCTGAATGTTATCACTCAGCACCAACTCCGCTTCCGGGCATAGGTATCCAGACCATTTCTGACCCAATAGCCTCCTTTCATGCATGCGCTCCATTATTTGCTTCCGTATGGTCTCAACCAAAGGTAAGATTCGCAACAATCGTGCCTTTCTTATCCAGCTGTTGAAGGACTCAGCAACGTTTGAAGTAACATGGCCATACCTTAACAACAAAGCACTAACAATAACAATAATTCCTTAAACTAAACATTAAAGGCCTAACCTTAACAACAAATATCCTAAACTTAACAGCAAAACCCTAGCAGAATAACTCTAACCATAACAATAAAAATCTAACCTTAACAGAAAACTGTAGGATAACTCTAACCTTAACAACTATAACAGTGCTGTAACAAAATAACGTCGGGACCAAGCTATCTTACCTTATACCAGGAAAATGCGCGTTTGCCCATCTCTCCGGGGAGTATTCCATTACAGTGACATAAGCCCTGTGATCGATCGCTGCCAATTCTTTCATGTCATTATCCCATTCAGATATTGTGAACTTATAAGCCGCAGATTGTAACAGCTCGCCCAACGTAGTCGCGATATTTGCCTTGTGCCCAAAATCCTTCATCTTTTTTTTGAAATTCTCGACTAGATGCAGAACACACCTTGAATGGAATGCATCTGGAAAGAATTCCTCGACTGCTGCCCTGATACCCTTGTCGGCGTCTGAAATCATTACCAGTCGATGTGGAGGTTGGTAAGGATTTTCCCTATCATACAGTAACGTCCATAATCCTTGTAAGAACCATTTCCAGTTAACCTCATTCTCTTGGTCGCATACGCAATAAGCTAGGGGAAATATTCCCTGGTTGCCGTCATACCCAGTAGCGTTAAGTAGTATGCCTCTGTAACGATCTTTAATAAATGTTCCATCCAAAAACAATAGAGGCCTATACCCAGCAATGAACCCTTCAATACAGGCATTATAACTAATGAACAGTCGCCTGAACCTCCCGTCATCAGCCTGGTTGCCGTCATACCCAGTAGCGCTAAGTAGTATGCCTCTGTAACGATCTTTAATAAATGTTCCATCCAAAAACAATAGAGGCCTACACCCAGCAATGAACCCTTCAATACAGGCATTATAACTAATGAACAGTCGCCTGAACCTCCCGTCATCAGCATCAATAACAACACGACTCCCTGGATTAGTTGCATGCACCATGGATTCATACCTGCATGAATATAACAACAAAGCAGTACATTTAGCGAAGGATTCATAACCATAACAAATGATCTTCAAACTTCACGACCAACACGTATACTTAACGACGAACCAATAACTTTAACAACTAATACGTATAGTTAGCAACCAACACGTACACTTAACGTCGAACCGCCAACTTTAACAACTACTACGTATAGTTAGCAACCAAAAGGTAAGAGTGATTTCAGAAGAATAAAAAAGATAAGGACCATCTCAGTGAATCGTAAGCCTCATCATCGTCACCGAACAGGTCCTGTTGAGCTGTCTCCTTGCTCCACCACGCTTTACTGTAGTTAATCTTGATGCCAAAATTAGAGAGCATGTCGTTCTTGATATCGACCGCACGAAGATCTGGCCTAACCTTCAAAACAGCTTGTATTTGGCTAGCAATGAACTTCCTTGATGCCCTTGAGTTGCCAGCATTTGCTCCATGTTGACCGCAGGTGTGGGTAGACTCGAAATTCTTTATGGACATGATAGACGAATTTCTGAGCGGGGAAGCAAACAACATCCAAGGGCAACCATGTGTGTGTTTGAATCGGCAATAGACTCTTATGCGTCTTTGTTCATTGTGGTAAAAATCATACTCGAACCGTTTAGCAATTGAATAGTATTGAAGTGCTAATCTAACTTCAGCAGCACTATCAAATTTCTGACCAACTTCACGTATGGAGGTGTGCCACTCAGTTGGGATCTTTGTTTGGTGATTAAGCATGTCTTCCAGCAGCATGATCGAGTCGCCGGTGGGGTTGTCATTAGGAATACGCTCATCATTACAGGTTTGGGTGAACGGGGTATCTGCGCACCGCGAATTTTCTGTCGGTATTGTCCTGAAGTATAAATCAAAATACATAGCCTTAGCAACGAACTGATAACCTTAACAACGAACTCATAAACGTAACAACCTACACATATCCTTAACAACTAACCCTTATACTTAAGGGCAGACTCGTGACCTTAACAACAAACGCATATACTTAACATCAAACACCATAACTTAGCAACCAACTAGTATACGTAACAGCCAACAAATAACTTTAACAACCAGTGCTTAACATAACCTTGACAGCCAACACATTACCAAAGCAACCAATGCATGAGGTTAACAACTAATGGCAAAACCTATCAGTGAACTCAAAAGGAAATCTGGAGTGTAATTCCTACGCAGTTTCCGGCGTAGTCTGCGTGTTCTGCGAAGTTGAGGATTCCGCAGCGGAGGTGGCATACAAATTCGCGTCTGTAAATCCATTACGCCGACAATACTCGAACATCAAATTTAAGTCGTCGTCATTGTCAATTGAAATGCTGAATTTCTTTTCCCTTTCGCATATGAACTTCAGTGAAAGAGATTGCATTGGTATTTTAAGCCTTTCCGCCACTCGATATTTCAAGCTGATTATTTCTGTATTCTCTTTGATAACGACGAATACACCGTCACCACCTTTGTTGCTTTTTGCCTTCGTTACCACGCATAGAAGAGATCCATCCGCCATTTTATTACAGGGAGTGGTTGAAGAATCGAAGAGGCTTTTATTGAGGATAATTAAGTGGAAGGAACAACTTAGCTTGAAGGGGGATATAGCTGGTGATAATATCTGATGATAATTTTGGAGGGAAATGGGAATTTTCCCCCCCAAAAAAGTCATTCATATCACCATTTAATGCCTACAGTCGAAACGATGGGTTTCCGTCGTGAGAGGGCGACGAACACATGCTGCGAAGGGTATTTTGGGCATTTCGAGCGGTGTTTAAACGGAAGGTGGCCTGGGGATTCGTTTTGGGGGCTGGAAGAAAATCGGGGGCGGTTTTGGGGGTAAAAGGAACGTTGAAAAGGTCTTGGGGGGGCAGAGCATGTTTTGGGTTGTTTTGGGGGCTGGAAGCAATTTTCCCTTAAATAAAATAAGCTTCTAGTTTTTTAAGATATTTAATTATTATTTTTAGAAAAGTATTTATATTTTTCTTGGCCTTCTAGAATTTTCTATGATTTAAAAGTTTAAATTTTATATTTATTTAAATAATTTTAATATTTATAAATTTATTTTGTGCAGTTTTCAAAATAAATAAATAATAAAATATATAGTCTTGTATTTATTAATTCTACTAAATATTAATTTATGGTTTAATGATTTTTTTATATAGTCTTTTGGTAGCTAATATTATTAGTGACCTTGTTATTATTAATGTAAACTTGAGCTTAGTATATTAGTACATATGTAAATATATAAAAATGAATATAAAAAAATTACAACTTTCTTGAGAACACACGCAGAGAGATCGTTTATCGGTCTTCTGCTTGCGCGGGATCTTTACCGGTGCCGGGACCGTGGACCACCAACTGATCAGATCCGAATAAAGATTTCGTTCTCTCGCAAAGGAGACAAGAAATTAAAGTGAGTATCTCAACAACAACGAAACAATCACTAGTCCGATTCTTCAAATCTACGCGGCAAGTTTTATTGGACTCGACCTCCACAATATCTTCCGTCGAATGTTTAATCGCCAAGCAGCTACCATGCTGAATGTTATCACTCAGCACCAACTCCGCTTCCGGGCATAGGTATCCAGACCATTTCTGACCCAATAGCCTCCTTTCATGCATGCGCTCCATTATTTGCTTCCGTATGGTCTCAACCAAAGGTAAGATTCGCAACAATCGTGCCTTTCTTATCCAGCTGTTGAAGGACTCAGCAACGTTTGAAGTAACATGGCCATACCTTAACAACAAAGCACTAACAATAACAATAATTCCTTAAACTAAACATTAAAGGCCTAACCTTAACAACAAATATCCTAAACTTAACAGCAAAACCCTAGCAGAATAACTCTAACCATAACAATAAAAATCTAACCTTAACAGAAAACTGTAGGATAACTCTAACCTTAACAACTATAACAGTGCTGTAACAAAATAACGTCGGGACCAAGCTATCTTACCTTATACCAGGAAAATGCGCGTTTGCCCATCTCTCCGGGGAGTATTCCATTACAGTGACATAAGCCCTGTGATCGATCGCTGCCAATTCTTTCATGTCATTATCCCATTCAGATATTGTGAACTTATAAGCCGCAGATTGTAACAGCTCGCCCAACGTAGTCGCGATATTTGCCTTGTGCCCAAAATCCTTCATCTTTTTTTTGAAATTCTCGACTAGATGCAGAACACACCTTGAATGGAATGCATCTGGAAAGAATTCCTCGACTGCTGCCCTGATACCCTTGTCGGCGTCTGAAATCATTACCAGTCGATGTGGAGGTTGGTAAGGATTTTCCCTATCATACAGTAACGTCCATAATCCTTGTAAGAACCATTTCCAGTTAACCTCATTCTCTTGGTCGCATACGCAATAAGCTAGGGGAAATATTCCCTGGTTGCCGTCATACCCAGTAGCGCTAAGTAGTATGCCTCTGTAACGATCTTTAATAAATGTTCCATCCAAAAACAATAGAGGCCTACACCCAGCAATGAACCCTTCAATACAGGCATTATAACTAATGAACAGTCGCCTGAACCTCCCGTCATCAGCATCAATAACAACACGACTCCCTGGATTAGTTGCATGCACCATGGATTCATACCTGCATGAATATAACAACAAAGCAGTACATTTAGCGAAGGATTCATAACCATAACAAATGATCTTCAAACTTCACGACCAACACGTATACTTAACGACGAACCAATAACTTTAACAACTAATACGTATAGTTAGCAACCAACACGTACACTTAACGTCGAACCGCCAACTTTAACAACTACTACGTATAGTTAGCAACCAAAAGGTAAGAGTGATTTCAGAAGAATAAAAAAGATAAGGACCATCTCAGTGAATCGTAAGCCTCATCATCGTCACCGAACAGGTCCTGTTGAGCTGTCTCCTTGCTCCACCACGCTTTACTGTAGTTAATCTTGATGCCAAAATTAGAGAGCATGTCGTTCTTGATATCGACCGCACGAAGATCTGGCCTAACCTTCAAAACAGCTTGTATTTGGCTAGCAATGAACTTCCTTGATGCCCTTGAGTTGCCAGCATTTGCTCCATGTTGACCGCAGGTGTGGGTAGACTCGAAATTCTTTATGGACATGATAGACGAATTTCTGAGCGGGGAAGCAAACAACATCCAAGGGCAACCATGTGTGTGTTTGAATCGGCAATAGACTCTTATGCGTCTTTGTTCATTGTGGTAAAAATCATACTCGAACCGTTTAGCAATTGAATAGTATTGAAGTGCTAATCTAACTTCAGCAGCACTATCAAATTTCTGACCAACTTCACGTATGGAGGTGTGCCACTCAGTTGGGATCTTTGTTTGGTGATTAAGCATGTCTTCCAGCAGCATGATCGAGTCGCCGGTGGGGTTGTCATTAGGAATACGCTCATCATTACAGGTTTGGGTGAACGGGGTATCTGCGCACCGCGAATTTTCTGTCGGTATTGTCCTGAAGTATAAATCAAAATACATAGCCTTAGCAACGAACTGATAACCTTAACAACGAACTCATAAACGTAACAACCTACACATATCCTTAACAACTAACCCTTATACTTAAGGGCAGACTCGTGACCTTAACAACAAACGCATATACTTAACATCAAACACCATAACTTAGCAACCAACTAGTATACGTAACAGCCAACAAATAACTTTAACAACCAGTGCTTAACATAACCTTGACAGCCAACACATTACCAAAGCAACCAATGCATGAGGTTAACAACTAATGGCAAAACCTATCAGTGAACTCAAAAGGAAATCTGGAGTGTAATTCCTACGCAGTTTCCGGCGTAGTCTGCGTGTTCTGCGAAGTTGAGGATTCCGCAGCGGAGGTGGCATACAAATTCGCGTCTGTAAATCCATTACGCCGACAATACTCGAACATCAAATTTAAGTCGTCGTCATTGTCAATTGAAATGCTGAATTTCTTTTCCCTTTCGCATATGAACTTCAGTGAAAGAGATTGCATTGGTATTTTAAGCCTTTCCGCCACTCGATATTTCAAGCTGATTATTTCTGTATTCTCTTTGATAACGACGAATACACCGTCACCACCTTTGTTGCTTTTTGCCTTCGTTACCACGCATAGAAGAGATCCATCCGCCATTTTATTACAGGGAGTGGTTGAAGAATCGAAGAGGCTTTTATTGAGGATAATTAAGTGGAAGGAACAACTTAGCTTGAAGGGGGATATAGCTGGTGATAATATCTGATGATAATTTTGGAGGGAAATGGGAATTTTCCCCCCCAAAAAAGTCATTCATATCACCATTTAATGCCTACAGTCGAAACGATGGGTTTCCGTCGTGAGAGGGCGACGAACACATGCTGCGAAGGGTATTTTGGGCATTTCGAGCGGTGTTTAAACGGAAGGTGGCCTGGGGATTCGTTTTGGGGGCTGGAAGAAAATCGGGGGCGGTTTTGGGGGTAAAAGGCACGTTGAAAAAGTCTTGGGGGGGCAGAGCACGTTCTGGGTTGTTTTGGGGGCTGGAAGCAATTTTCCCTAAAAAAAATTCTAATAATAAAATCCCTCCTTTACAAGCCTCTTTAACTAAGAATCCTTATCAAATTGAAATTTTATAATTTAAAAATTCCAGTAATCAAAACCCTTATAAAAATTATAAGGTTAGAAAATTATTAACTACCCTCTTAAAAGTCTAAAAATCACAAACAATCACATAAAATTTAAAAATTACAAACTACCCTTGAGATCCAAACATTAGAAATAGCCTCTTGATAAATCTAAAATTTTAAATATGCTCGTAAAAAATAAAAAGTTTACAACCAACCCTTTAAAATTCAAAAATTACAAATAGCATCATAAAAATCAATATATTATACCTTGTCCCTTCTAAAATCCATAAATTTAAAAAATTCCTTAAAAATCCAAAAATTATAAAATTCCCATGAAAAGTTCAAAAATTAAAAATAGCCCCTAAAAGTTCTAAAATTTTATAAACAACTCCTTAAAAATTTTACAACTAGCACCTCAAAAGTTTAGAAAATTAAAAATATCCACTTAAAAATTGTAGAAATAGTCATTTGAAAATTTAATAACTAGCCTCATGAAAGTTGTGAAAATAACTTAACACTGTGCTGAAGATATGAAATATTACAAACAACTCCCTAAAACATTTACAAAGGACCCCTTGAATGTTTCAAAAGTTACCAATGCCACATGAAAAATCTAACAATTACAAATTGCCCAAGAAACTTGCAAACAATCTCTTAAGATTTAATAATTTTAAACAAACCCTTTAGAAATTTCAGAATTATAAATCCACCATAAATTTTAGAAAAATTATAAAAGGCCCCTTTAAAATCTATAAATTACAAACAATCTCTAAAATTTTTGAAAATTTTACGAACATTCTTCTAAAAAGTTCAAAATTTATATATAGCCCCTAGAAGTTTTACAAGCAAACCCTTAAAAAATTTACCAGCCTTTAAAAGTTTCAAAAATCGGAAACATCTTATCAAAACTTTTATAGACATCTATTTAAAAAATTTACAACTAGCTTCATAAAAGTCGCTAATTTAACAAACATCGTGCTAAAATATCATAATATTATGAATAACTTTTAATTTTTTTTGCCAACAACTACTTAAAATTTCTAAAACTACAAACACCCTCAAAAAAATTTTAAAAAGACAACTGAAAGTTTTGTAATACAAATAACATCACAAAAAAACTTTACTAAATAGCCCCCTTGAAAATTTTACAACCACCCACTTAAAAGTTTTAAAAATTACAGACAATCCTCAAAAGTTTACATACAACACCTCAACAAATTCTTAAATTACTAGTGGCACCCT